ACCAAAATTTAAAAAAATAGTTAGGAAACGGTGGAAATATCAACCAGTGTGTTTCCATATAATTCATATTGTGTTGTAGCTCCGCACGTTATTATTAATTTTTACCCATTCATTATTTATATAAATGCCTGATATTTTGCAGGTGAGTTAGCTACTAATATAAGATTGTTATATAATAATTGTTTTGTTTATAAGGTTTGTCGCAGGGAAAATTTTTGTACATTAGTTCTGACCTAACATCAAAATATATTTAAAAAAAAAATAGAAGTGATCATTTTAGTTTAGATTTTCCTGATTTTTAAGATAAATGATGGATAAAAAATTGTGTTTGGAAAAAATGGCAGATTAGGAGCCAAATGACCTGATTGATATGAGATGTCCACTGTCATTTCAATATTCCCGAATGGACTCTGGTTGAAAAATCAACCACCTCAAAAAAACACAAAAAAAAAACAGTAAAAAAATCAAAATAACGAACAATACCTCTTTTCTAGAACGTAATAAACTCAAACTCATTCTTATTTGGTTGAAAACCAAATTGCAATGTTCTGCCCTATAAAGGGTTAATTCTTCCCACAACACAGCCTCGTCATCATATCCTAGTAATTTACCTAGTTTATTCAAAGCATAGACAAGTCTAGCACTAGTTTCGAAAAATTGTTTGGTTCCAAACATGAAAAATCACTAAAACTAATAAGATGCCTCTATTTTTGTTATTCATGGTTACATCGTATACTTGCACCTCAAATTTGAAAATAGTAGTAGCTGAAGGAGTATCATCTGCTTACACCCCTGGCATCTTCGTTTTTTTACGAGAACAAATTGCGGATAATGAGTCCTGAATTATCAGATCACTTTCATTTGCTTCCAGTCCTGCATTTGCCCAATTGTAAAATATTTTTAGCACTTCATACTTCTTTCAGAGGGCTGCGACTCTGTAACAAATAAAGATATTTTCTCTATCTCTATTGACGTCGCCTCTCTATTGATTTCGGCAAGAGAGAAGATGACAGCAAGTGCCATAGCGATAGGGATAACTATCTCTATCCGTTACAGAGTTCCAGCGTTGCCTTGTTCCTGAGTGCGTCATAAGCTTAATTGACCATCATATTCTTTGTGCATTCATAATATTGAGGCCGTCTGTTTGTTCTTAGACTTTGGTTTGTGAAGATATCTTGATAAAGATCCTGTTTTTCTAAAGATCGTCCCACACTCGGATCGGCCCACCGGGAATTTCCCGGTATCCCGGTGGGTTCATCCTGAGTGACAATCACCAAAAGAAACTTATTAATTGATTGTGTAAATTACCCTGGAAGTGACTGTATACCCGATTTTGATTGTGATAGTGAATTTTTAATCTGTGTCCAGCTTTAGACAATCAACGACGTATTTGATACCGTAAAACGGGAATACTTTCTGACAGATTTGGGGGTTTTTTGAAATTCTCAAACATTTCTTTGCCACATAAAATTCTAAAAAAATACACTATGTATATCCGTTCTTCCGCTACAAATTGGCAGTTCTAGAAAAATGGAAAAAAAATAATAAATCAGTTTCACAATTTTACCCCGTGATGCGAGGTAACTTTGTGACAGTGCGTTTTTACAATGAAAACATAATGTAACCCCGTCATTTTTAGTCTGAAACGATAGGAAATGTCAAAAAATATATGCTTGATAATTTTCTGATATTAAAAACATGGGTATAGTGAAATTAATTAAACAGTGTATGCACGTGATCAAAATTATTGACATAAGCACGTCGCAATGTTGCCGCTATTAACTTTCGTTCTACTTTGACTTACCATGTCTAGTAAAATTTGTTATCACAACAAATACAAAGCAAACAAACATCGATTTTTATATGTATAGATAGAGTATTATAAACACGATATAAAAAACTACTCACTTTTTTTATACATGTCGTAAATTTGATTGCAAATAGAGCTAACATCAAAATGATCTTGATTCGTAACCCGCTTCTTATGTGGACGATTTTTCTTTAGTGAATTTAACGCTAAATTGTCCCTAACTTTTTGAGAGATTTCACATTGGATTTTGATTGGAAAATATTCCCAATCAAAGCCCCAGAAGATTTATATTTGTTAGTATCAATATACTTCACCTCTCTAACGCTATTTAATGGCAAAAAGGGGCCCCTATTATCTCGTTCCTGTTCAAAGTATTTAACTAGAGACGCAACGAGTTTCTGACTCTAACTATTCAATGACTTTCGCATTCATTTTATAGATACACAAATAGAAATAATTTCAAATTATTAAAATCAGTAACCGCAGATTTACAGGAATATTTGGCAACATAACCCACGAGTGCCAACCTAAATGCCATTTTATCGGCCGAATTGGTTAAATGCCAACAGTGTTCTGTCTTTTTTTAACTAAGGTTGAATGAAAAGGAAAATGAGCTTGAAACGAATTTTAATTTCTTACAAACTGCAATTGGCAATAATTTCGACGTCATTTATCACGTGCATACACTGTTTAAATAATTTCACTATATATACTGATTTAGACATTTTAAACTTTTATTGTATATCATACGATATAGTATTTATCACCCTCATATTGATCCAGAAATTGGGATGTTGTGAAATTAAATATTTTATAATGCTTTTCTTGATATCTGCTGAGAAGTTTGTTAGTTTGTATCATGTTTGTATCAATTTGTATCACTAGAGTTTCCGAAATTGTATTTTTCTGAAACAATAGATAGGGAAATAGTCTTCAGGTAGATTGTCATAGAATTGTCAATTTGTCAATATAATTGTAATGATTATTAATAAAAAAGTCCATGTTATAAAGAATGCTGAATGTTTATTTGAAGAAGTAATAGCAATTTTATATGAAATCACAACAAGTCACGGGCCCAGGAAACTCTATTTAGTGAAATAAAATAAACGCTGTGTCTAGAATCCCGGTACCGGTAACACATTTTTTACCGGTAGTTCTGATGACGTCATCGATATGACGCACTTGTACCGGGATTTAAGTAAATCCCGGTGTTTTGATTTTGTTTTTATCGTTATTTATCAGCTGATTGGTATTTTAGGTTAATTTATTAATGTTTTCGTCACTTTTTTGAAACAATTCAAACTATAAAAGTTAGTTTAGGTTCGAAATACCTTATATAAATGATTTGCGTTCGGAAATGTCGAACAACTCATCCCAGATTAGAAGTAATCTGCAATCGGATGATAGTAAACTAGGGTTGTTATTCCCGAAAACCCCTGAGAATTTAAAATTTTGAATTTGAAATTATGTCACTTTATATAGCAGTTTATAATCGGATTTAATAGATATTTATTAATTTACTTCAAGCAATATATGTAACTATACTGTTTAGGATGTAAATTAAAATGAATATCTCTCATTTTTTATTTATAAGTTTACAATCAGAACAATAGGTACCACATTTTGGGTATATCACAAACTGGAACATTTCACATGTCATAGTCTCTTCAACTTCTTTATAACTTTTAAATGTTTGTCCTACATTAAAAACCATTTCAAAAGTAATTTCACGTTGATAAACTCACGAAAACACTCTACTCTACGTTCACACATCAACAAAACAAGTTAAAAACATGAAAAGTTAGGTTAAGTTGGACTTTGATGAAACAAAAACCGCCAACGACTACATTTTTTACCGGGATTTGCTTGAATCCCGGGTACCTAGTTCGTCATATAGGTGACGGCATCAAAACTACCGGTAAAAAAAGTGTTACCGGTACCGGGATTCTAGACACAGCGTTTATATTATTAGGACATTCATTTTTGAAATGACCTCTTTTTCCACATTAAAAACATACATTTCTGTCGAAAACTCTATCTGTCGTAAATGCTGCAGCTTTGTTGATATCACTTCCATGCTGCTTCATAGTTGTTTCAGTAATTGCTCTCTTCTTGTCAACCTCACTTCTTAGCTTTGATTTCATTAAATTAATAGTTAAATCACCTGGATCCATATTTTCTAAAACGTTTCTAACTGTTTCAAAACTCTTCGGCATTGCTAGTAGCAAACTGCAAACTATATCTTCATCTTGGATATCAGCACCTGTGGCCTTTAATTGTCTGATAGTGTCATCAAATTCTTTTAAGAAATGTTCCAAATTTTCCATTTCATTAAGTTTCATAGACATTAATTTACGTCTTAGCATGAGTTGTCCTGGTATACCTTTTTTCTTGTAGCGATCCTGTAAGCTTTTCCACATAGCATAGGCAGTTTCCTTATCTCGAATTGTATCTAACTGTGTATCTTCTAAGCATTGTACAATATAAGACTTACATCGCTGATCTTTCTTCTTAGCTTCTTGCAATTTCTTTTCATCAGTATAATTAGTGGCCCTGAATTCCTTCTCTACAGAATCTTTAACATCTTTTTCTTCCAATAATATTTCCATTCTGAATTTCCAAGCTTGATAATTTTTGTCATTCAAGGGCTCAATATTGAAAGTGTTATTTTTTGG